AATTCTTTAGGAAAGATATTTTCAAATTCCTGCAAAAGAGAGGAAACATCACTAGACAAAATATTGTTAGCAAATGAATCAATAAATTAATGATAAGAACTTTCTTTACACAAAAGTAGATACATAGGCTGATAGGCCAACAAAGCTTTCCTCACTTATTTTTCTCTCACAAACAAATTTTCTCTCATTTCACATTGATTTTTCTCTTCACTTTTCTTTTCACTCTTTTCTTTTTTACTTGTAAGTATCTTCATTTTTTTTTCCCTTTTTTTAAGCTTGCCTTCAAACTCACTCTTTTTGTTTTCATTTTTTTTTCTTTTCTCTCTTGCTCTCTTCTCAACCTCAAGACTATTTGATCCTCACACACTTGACTAGATGTCATGGAGACTAAAGTGATTGTGCACCCTTTATGTACAAATGTGAACTTGTTAGAATGACCATCATGAATAACTTTTTTGTCAAACTGCTAAGGTCTTCCCAAGAGGACATATGGCCCTTTTAAAGGTATTTAAAGCATTTGATTTTCCTATGTTTAAAAGAAATTTTAGGTGAAGGTTTATCACTTTGGAAAGTTGTGTCTTTAGTTGATGTTCTCTCCTTTTTCACTCGTTCTTTCCATCCTTTTGAGTTATAAAAAGAGACATTCTTTTTCAAAATCCCATTTCTTTTGAGTTGTGCTTCTATTTTAATTGCTTGATAAACTAAATATTCAAATTCTACATAGGGATAAAGTTTCACTATGTCATAGATGTCATGGTCTCATGATTCAACCCATTCAAGAAAAGGGTCATTGTTGCTTCTCTTTCTTCAAAACATTAGCTCTTATCATGACAACTTCCATTTCTTTGTAGTAGTCGTTAAAACTTTTTCCACCTTGCCTCAAACTTTGAAACTTTGTATGGAGCTCCCTATTGTAGTATGTAAGAACAAATCTCTTGCACATTAGATTCTTCATTTTAATTGATGTGACTACAGGCTCCTCATCATATCTCATTCACTCCATTGGAATTTGATCTTAGCACACTAATGAGTAGTCATGAAACTCTAGGGAAGCTACTTTTACGTTCTTTTTTTCTTTTCACTATAATCATGACATGAGAATATTTGCTCTATCTTTAATTCTCACTCTAAGTATATGTACAACATCATTCCTTCTATGAAAACTATGAATCTTTATTTTAACTCCATTAATTCTTTCATTTTATCTCACCTTTACACCTTCTTCTCTCCTTCTCTTTTCATTCATCCTCCCTCTATTATCTCTCCTTTTATCGCACATCCTTTCTTCATCATTCCTCCTATCTCTTCTTCTTTCTCTTGAAGAACTATTAAAATCTCCATGGGCATATGGAGAATGATCATGTTGCTGCCTTTTTGCATTATTTGCCAACGTCTCTTAAATATTCCTTACTGCTTCATTTTTCCATTGAAACATTTTTTTTAAATCTTTGTTAAGTCCTTCAATTTGTGAGGGAGGAGTGCCCTCCCTACTTGATCCTCTTTCCTAAGACATTTTGCAAAATAATAAAAGTTAACGCAATAAAAGAATTTTTTTTTTATATTTTTGAATTTGAAATTATTTTTAAGTGTTTTACGTCTTAAATTTATGATTATTAATATATATTAGTTGTTGATATTTAGTTAATTTTTTTATATTATATGATAAAAAATTATTTTAAAATAAGTTATATTTTAAATTATTTAATTTTCTTAATTTTTGGTTATTTTGGTGCATAATATTCGTATTCATAGTCATAAGGATAACTTGTCATTCAAAAAAGTGATGAAGTAGATGTTAAGTATGCCAACGAGTCTTTGTTCGTTTGACTGATTTGAGTAGAAATACTGTCTCATGATAATGTGCAGATATAGGCAAATTTATTATAATATTGAAAATTAAAAAACAATTTATTATTTTATAACAAATCTGAAACAATTTCTCAATCTGAGATTTTTTTGCCACGTGGATCAATTTTTCGCCATACGGCTAGCGAAAGTAATTAATTTTTTAATTTTTTAATATCTGTTTCACCACAAAAAATACGAAATATGACTTCTTAGAGCGGTTAGTTTAAAACCGCTCTCATAACTCTATTTTAGAGAGCGGTTCCTTATGAACCGCTCTCATAACCCTATTTTAGAGAGCGGTTCCATTTGAACCGCTCTCAAAAGTCATGTTAGTCATGTTAATTTTGATGGATCTTCTGGCTCGGGATTAATAACCCTACTTTGTTGTGAAGATGATGCCATCTATACAACAACAAAAAATATTAGTAAAAAAATTTCATTCAATAATAATAATAATTTATATTTTACTAACATATTAATAATACATATTTTATAAAGGTCAAACAAATTTTCTAACAAATCATTATCACATTGTAATGACATCATATTATATTCATTACAATATATTATAAATTGAAAAATTAGGTGTATATAAACAAAATTAAATAAATAAATTCTTTTTAAATATACTAACCTATATTCTATACATATTATAACTAAAGATATATAAATTTTTAATTATTCTAAATACAAATCTACATAAATTTTACATACAAATTTTATATAAATACAAAACTCTAATTACTAGCATAAAATTAAATTACATTTTAATTTTTTCATATTTCTAATTTAAATCTACATAAATTACATTTAATTTATAATTATATAATACTATTACGTTTTTTAAAGTAAAAAATATTATTATTTACATACAAATTTTATTTAAATACAAAACTCTACTTACTGCATAAAATTAAATTACATTTTTATTTTTTTATATTTCTAATTTAAATCTACATAAATTTTATATAAATACAAAACTCTAATTACTAGCATAAAATTTAATTATATTTTTATTTTTTTATTTTTATAATTTAAATTTACATATATTACATTTAGTTTATAATCATATAAATAATATTACATTTTTAAAAGTAAAATTTTTTATTATTTACATACAAATTTTATACATACATTTCATATAAATTATGATTACTGCATTTAAAATTTTACAATTTTAAAATTTTACTTCATTATAGGTGTAAAAATTATTTATTACAATCAAACTAAGTATAAATTATTATATTTAGTTTTATATAATTATTTTATTTAACTCAAGTAAACTATATTTAGTTTTATATAATTACAATGCCTGAACGGTTTCGCTAACTGCAGGGCGAAATAAACTTTCGCCAGTAGCAGCGCGAATCATCTCAGATGTTGCCACGTGTATCAAAATCTCCCCAGCCGTCCATTTTAAATCTAAGAAAGCGGTTCCGGCAGGACCGCTCTCTAATATGTACTTCTGAGAGCGATTCATATGGAACCGCTCACTTACATGACTTTTGAGAGCGGTTCAAATGGAACCGCTCTCTAATATTGAAATTTCAGAGCGGTTCATAAGGAACCGTTCTCTAAAATAGAGTTATGAAAGCGGTTCATAAGAAACCACTCTCTAAAATAGAGTTATGAGAGCGGTTTTAAACTAACTGCTTTAAGAAGTCATATTTCATATAAAAAATTCAAAAATTAATTACTTTCGCCAGCCGTTATGGCAAAAAATTGATTCACGTGACAAAAAAACCCCAGATTGAGAAATTGTTTCAGATTTGCTATAAAATAATAAATTATTTTTTAATTTACAATATTATAATAAATTTGCCGCAATATAAGGTCACTATATTTTTCTCTCTTATTTCGTAATCAAATGTGCTGCATCTTTTAATCTACATCGTTGTAAGGTTGATATTTTGGATAAGAGGTGAAATAGAAAGGAAAGAAATAAGAGAGTGAGAAATAAAATAAAATAAGTTTGGAAAAGAGGTGCTGATTATATGGGTAGAAACAGAAGAGAAAGAATTGTAAAAAATTCTTTCTACTTGCTTTTATGAATAGAAAAGAGAATGAAAAGAAATAAATATGTTATATAAAAAATGTTTTTATAATAATAATATTAAATTGAATTTAATAAAAATTAGAACTTTTGATATAATTTTTTTAAGTAGCTTTACTTTTTAAAATTATTTTTATATTTTTATTATTTAAAAATTATTTAACTCTTAAACTAAAAAAAATAACCACATTCCATTGTTTAAATCACGACTAAAGGGTGGAGAAAAAACATTTTGGACCCACTTTTCAACACAAAGCATCCAAACAAGGAATTTGTTTTTTTCACAAAATCGCCCATCTCAATTTCTTTTCTTTCACATTCAATCCATCCAAACATATTATTAGTCTCCTTGATAAATTTCTCCAAAAACTTTTTCTTCTTTGAACATAAACATATAAAATTATCAATATAATTAACAATACAATAATGAACATAGACACTCCTTACCCTGTTAAAATTTGAATGATAAGTTAAATAATGCAAATAAATAAATAAATATAAAATTAAAATTTTACAATTAAAAGTTGAGATATAAAAGTAAAAAAATAATATTAATTAAAAGGATCAAAATCATACAATTACAAGTTGAGGGACCAAAATTTGAACAAGTGTTCAATTAAAAGAATCAAAATAGCACCAGACAAAACAAATTTTAAAGAAATTAAAATTATAATTAAGCTAAAAATATTAGTCAAGATTTATTGACAGTAGATATAACTTTAAACACTTACATCACGTAATAAATTTTTTATAAAATACAAAATTAATCAATCAAACTATTAGGTTAAAAATTCCTATCAACTGAATCAACTTTACATCATTTTCAGCGTATAAATTATGTTATAAAATAATAAAATATAAAAATAAAATTAATATTTTAAAATAAATAATAACAATATAAATATAGTATTATGTTATAAAACATTATTTATTAAATTTTGAAGGATCGTTATTAATACATAACTGTTTTTAAAAAAATAAAACTTTAGAAAATAAAAGATACCAAAGTGAGTTCACATAATCTAACATAACTGATCATCCCTGCTATGATTGAGTAAACTTAAAAAGATATGAACTAAGAAGTCAACGAAGTGCAAATGGCCACCTATTTTGAAAATTCAAATCATGACAAACGCATTGATGCTCCTTTTCTATGCAGACCAGAGCAAGCACACACAAAGGTTAATTTTCTTCACTTGTTTTTTTCTTATTTTTTAATAAAGGTAGAAATTATGCTATTTCTTATTTTTAATTTCGATAATTATTTTTGTTTAGAGATCAAGCTTCTCCATAAGTTATGAATAGCTTTTTCTCCATAGCTCGTTGCTGTGAGCAGTGATTTCATATGGTTTAAATCGTGTCTTATCTCCAATCAATCATGTTTTTCGATTTGGTTTTAGCTTAATAGCCTTTTTTGTAATTCAGGGTTTCTTGCAGCATGGGTTCTGTTTTGGTATAGTTGAATTTGAGGAATTGAGTTCCATGCACAGTATCGTTGAGGTACAATTACATACTGTCCTTTTGAGCTGTTCATTTTTGTAGTTCTGTGCTGCTATTTCTGTATTTCGCCATGGAAGAAGTGTCTGTTTGTTGACATCCATAAGATTAAAAGTTTGAATTTAATACTTTTAGTTTATTGCTAGTGTTACATATGACCTTTAATCAATGCTGCCTGTAGTTCCTAAGTTACAACTTCTGATAGGAGCAATTTTGGAGCTGGAATTTTCAGGAGTAATGTATAAATGATTCTATGTTCTGCATTTATAAAAATATGCATGTTTTGATAAAACATTGGGTGCTCTGATTGTATATATAAATGCTTATCTTCTGATAGTATGTTCTGCATCTTTGCAAAGTAAAACATTTCATATGCTTCTAAACCGGGAGGTCATTTTGGAAATTCGGTTAAAGCGATATATAAATGCAATTTGGAAATGGGATTATGTTGTCATGATGTTCGAACTTTACACAAGATTATCGTATTATAGAGTAAAAGATAAGAAAAATGTATCTTATAAAATAGTAAAGCTCTTATTATCATTATAACATGACAATACGAAAATATTAATACAAGCTCCGGCATTCAATTCCAAAATGGAAGTTATATACGGAGCACATGAACTATGCTACAAAATGTATAAGGTTATGGTCTGATATATACAGTCCAATGTGATGTACAATTGAAGATTCATTAATCCTCACAAAAATGTAACAACCTAATCATTTACACACGTGTAAGTCTGTGATCTCTCTAGTAAGACCATGCTGGTAAAACAAGCTCAATGTTGAAATTGCCAATTCTGATAGTGATGATTATACAAGAATTTTTGTTTTAATAAAACATATGATGAACAGAAGTATTAAGTATTAGGTAAATTTTTTACCATAACCTTTCTTTCAGTTTATTGAATTATTTCTACTTTTATACCTTTTAATTTTATAACACTTCACTGTTGGATGTACATCACAGATGCAAGCTAGCAAGATGAGGTGAAATGTAATAGGGATACAAAGAAAATGGCAGAAATTGTGGTTTCGTTTGCTTTGGAGCAAGTGGTCCAACTCTTGCATGAAGAGGCAACTCTAATTGGAGGAGTGCATAAAGAATTTGTAGAGATAAAAAATGAACTACAAATCATTCAAAACTTCCTTAAAGATGCAGATAGAAGGGCTTCTGATGAGGAAAATTTGGAGAATGGAATCAAAATTTGGGTGAAAAAGTTGAGAGAATTATCTTTCCGCATAGAAGACGTCATTGCTGAGTACAACATTTATGTTGCACATGAAACCAATCATCCTCATCGATGCATAGCTTTGCTCCAAAAGATTTTTCACTCTGTGAAAACTCTAATGCCTCTTCGTCAACTAGCATATGAGATTCAAGACATTAAATCATCAGTTCATAATATCAAAGAAGGAAGTAAAAGCTATAACTTTCAGTCTGAAGATGGATCTAGCAGCGCTGGAAGGAACCAAAGTGGAAAATGGCATGATCCTCGATTAGTTTCTCTTTTCATAGAAGAATCTGAAGTTGTGGGATTCGAGAAACCAACTGAACAATTGGTTGGTTGGTTAATGAATGGAGCAACAGCTCGCACTGTAATTTCAGTGGTAGGTATGGGAGGACTTGGAAAGACCACTCTTGCTAAGAAAGTTTTTGACAGCCAGCAAGTGAAAGGACACTTCGATTGTTGTGCTTTCATCATTGTTTCTCAATCATATGCCATAGAATCCTTGTTGAAAAGCTTGTTGAACAAGTTCTGTGAAGAGACTAAGGAGCTTCTTCCTCAAGATATAAAGACGATGGACAAGATGTCACTCATTACTGCAGCAAGGCATTACTTGCAAAACAAGAGGTATGTAATCTTCTTTGATGATGTGTGGAAATTAGATTTTTGGGATGAGATCCAACTTGCCACACTCAATAACAACAAGGGCAGTAGGATAGTGATCACAACTAGAAACTTGGATGTTGCCAACTACTGCAAGAAAGATTCCCATGTTCAAGTGCATAAGTTGCAACCCTTGTCTCCAAACAAAGCATGGGAACTATTTTGCAAGAAGGCATTTCAAACTGATTTTAGTGGAAATTGTCCTTTGGAGCTCAAAGATATGTCTAATGAAATTGTTAAAAAATGTGAGGGGCTACCACTTGCAATTGTAGCCATTGGAGGTCTTATGTCAACCAAAGACAAAACTGTATTTGAATGGAGCAAAATCTGCCAAAACCTTAGTGTTGAACTTGAGAGAAATCCACATTTAACTAGTTTGACTAGAATTTTGTGCCTCAGTTATGATGACTTGCCTTACTATTTGAAATCATGTATCTTGTATTTTGGGATATATCCAGAGGACTATTCCATTAGGTGCACGAGGTTAGTTAGGCAATGGATAGCTGAAGGGTTTGTTATAAACCAAGAGGTAAAACCTTTGGAGGAAGTTGCACGAGAGTACTTGTTAGAGTTGATCCACAGAAGCTTGGTCCAAGTCTCAAAAGTTGACTATGATGGGAAAGCTCTAAGCTGTAGAATCCATGATTTGCTACGTGAAATTATCATTAGAAAAATGAAGGACTTAAGTTTTTGCCGTGTTGTTTATGAAGGTGATCAACAAAGCTTTGATGCAACAGCTCGACGCTTGGCCGTTGCAACTACTTCCAATGATGCCTTAAGAAGCATTACACAACATACTTCCATCCGGTCCATGTTCATGTTTGAAGCAAGTGAACTGCCAGATCACTTTATGAAGAGTTTCTTTTCAAAATCTAAGCTTGTCAAAGTATTGGATTTTGAAGGCACTTCATTGAATTATGTTCCCTATGACTTGGGGAGTATTTTTCACTTGAGGTACTTGAGCTTAAGGAAAACTAATGTTAAGGACATTCCAAAATCTATTGGTAAACTGCACAACCTAGAAACCTTGGATCTAAAGGAAACACTAGTGCGTGACTTGCCAAGTGAGATAAACAAGCTTACAAAGTTACGCCATCTTTTAGTTTACCACAGAGATACCAGTTATAGTATTAATGGTGAAACTGGAGTGAGGCTGAAGGAAAATATTGGAAACTTGACATTTCTTCAAAAGCTTTATCATGTAGAGGCAGACCATGGTGGATTCAACCTAATAACAGAGCTAAGAAAGTTGAGGCAGTTAAGGAAATTGGGCTTAAAGAATGTGAAGATGGAATATGGGAACATTTTGTGTGACTCAATCCAAGAAATGAATTGCCTTGAAACTCTTTATATTTGTTCAATAACTGAAGATGAGACCATTGATTTGCAATTTATCTCATCTCTCCCTCAACTCCGACGACTTCACTTGTTTGGTCGCTTAGAGAAGTTTCCTAATTGCATTCCAAGACTTGAGTATCTTGTTAGGTTGTCCATTCGCTTTTCCAAGTTGAAGGATGATCCACTGAAGTCACTTAAAGATCTGCCGAATTTGATGCGTCTCTCGATTTCAGGCGAAGCATATGTTGGTGAAAAGTTGCATTTTGAAGTGGGATTTCAGAAATTGAAGAGACTTTTTCTTATGAATCTGAGTAAACTGAGTTTCATTGTTCTAGACAATGGAACTTTGCCAGCTCTTGAAAGAGTTAATATGATGGGCTTGCCCCAACTGAAGGAGTTGCCCCCTGGCTTCCACTTGCTTCAAAACCTTGAAAATATGTATTTAACTGATATGTCAAATGAATTCAACAAAAGCATTGATCCGAATGATGGACCCATGTACTGGGTCATCCAGCACGTTCAAATGGTATCAATTAGAGAGAAGGTTGGTCCAAACTACAGGTATCGCACTATTTGCCATCCAAAAGAGGTCTAAATAGAATTCAAAATACCTTGGAGCCACCCCTTCTCAAAAATAAAGGTACTCTTACTCTTTCCTTCTAAAAGCATATATGAGATAATGGATCTTTTATCATATATAGTTTGTATTTATCAACACAAATTAAAATTGAGTTATACGTTATTGATCTTCTTCAATGACGAATATACAACTGCTCTCTCACCATGTATATATAGGGAGTATTTCGTATGAAATACTTAATTATTGTGAGAAATGAGAACACTCAATGATATCTGTTAGATTAAATTTAACCATTCAGATTAATTCTTAGAACTAAAAGCTCACGTGACATCCTATTCTCTTTCCCGCAGCTATCACCCACTATGTTTCACCTTCCGTTTTCTGCAAACATATGCAGTGCGTTGTTCTTCCCATGTTCTTCATTGTTTTGTTTCATGCTCTCCGTTACTATCTCTTTTGACATTCCCGTGCGCTCCACAACCACTTTCCTTCACCAAATTTTCATGGTCACCACACTTTGCCATAACTGAATCTCCAACCTTACCTACCATCACCATAAACCAACATTAGGCACGAGTTAGAGTTTGGGCAAGTCTGCCATCACCATATTGCCAACCTTATTGCCATGCTTGATTGAAATCACTTCAGCATCACCCTTCTGAGTTCTGCACTTGCTTTCTAAATCTTGCACTTGCACTTGCACTTGGGCCTTTACATGAGAAGGAGATTTCTTACTAAAATTAAAGATGATTTTTCAGGACAATTACGGCTGTTATGATATTCATACTGGCCACATGCTTTACAAAGTCTAGTTCTTTTTTGTTGTTGTTCAATGGCTTTCTCTTTTCCTCCTTTAATTCGTTCACCACTTCCTTTTGTGTTTAAAAACTGCGGAGGATGAATTTCTACTTCTTTAGGTAGATTGAATCCAATGAAAGACTCTAATTCTTTGGTCTTGCTTTGCATTGAATCACCTTTAAACTTAGACAATTGCTTTTCAATGTTAACAACTCCATTTATTACAATAAGTAATTTCTCCTTACATTGTCCAGCCATATGCATACACCTAAATAAGTGATCCCATGCATTGATATGAGTTGACTCTCATTTTTTAGTTCAGAAAACCCTTCCAAGACCTTGCCATCAACATCAAAAATCGGTTTGCTAGTTGCCAACTTGCTCCACCTATTCACAACATAATTACTTGGTATTTCATTTAAACCCTTTTCCTTTAGAACACAAAGTATACATGGCATGCCTTGAGATTGGAACATTTTGCATGAAAAACTTGCACTCTGATCAAAATCACTATAAACCACTTCTCGTACTTTACCATTGGCTTCACCATTGTCAACTATGTGTAATATTTCCATTTCATCCTTTTCTTCCTTATTTTCAACTCCACAGTCCACACAAGCAGTTTATAACTCTTTCTGAAATATCTAAAAGTTCTCATGAGTGTAAACATCTCTTCCATGCTTCTCTAAACTACGATCCAACTTCAATACTGGTAATGAATGGAATGAATCATTATCAGCAAGTAACTCCTTATGCCTCTGTGCTTCTATTGCAGACTCAAACCTCATCCAATATTCAACCAAGCCAATATTAGAATTCAAGAAGTTCCAATAGAAAGAATTTTCACTTTTTGATCTTGTGGTTGTTCTCAACATCCCACACAAAAATATGCGTTTAAAGTAATCTGGGATCCACATATTTCGAATGTCATACATATGCGAGAGCCAATCATTCTTTTGCAACTCAAATTTAATCATTATAGATTTCCATGCTGCTGCAAATTCATTAGGGGTAAATTATTATTGAACTCATCATTAGCATTCGAGCAAACTCTTACTTTTTCAAAAACTTTTTTCATGATGTGCCACATGCAAAATCTATGAGCAGAAGAATAATAAATCTTCTCTGTTGCAATTTTCGTGGCAGGATCTTTATCTGTTATAAGATTTGGTTGATGTCCTCCCATTGCATCCAAAAACCTTTCAAACACACCAAATTAATGAATCAACTTTCTCAGCTACTAGAAAGGAAGTTCCAAAAGTAATAGATTGTCGATGGTGATTTACTCCAGTAAATGGAACAAAAATCATCGAATATTTATTTGTTCCATACGTGGTGTCAAATGAAACTACATCCCCGAACAAGGAGTAATTTTTACTACAAATTCCATCTGCCCAAAAGACATATTTCAGCCTACCTTCAACATCTACTTCATATGCATAGTAGAATGATGGATTCACCTCTTGCTTTTTCTTAAAATTATCAACAAATACATATGCATCAAAATCTTTAGTCAAGGTCTTTAAATCTCTTAAAAAATTTTGGAGATCCCTTTGTGTGCACCCAACATTTTCATACCCTCCAAATTGTTCTTTCAATAAGTAATATGTTTTTGAAGGCCCAACATTTGCCTTACCATATGCATATAATAAACTCGTATGAACAGGATTCACTTTTCTTGCTGATCTAAGAAACTGTCTCTTCCTAGGTGAGGCAAGTTCATGGGTATGACTTTAATGAAATCAAGCAAGTTCATGTTTACCTCCTTCTAACAGTTTAAAAGCAACCTTCGCATTACATCTTCTCTTTTAAGACTTCTTCGAGCCTTAACTGTTGATTCACCTTGTTCCACACTTTTTGCTTTATCTAGTTTGTAACCTTCTTTTGAGCAAACAAAATACGTCCACCGCTTCAATCCACCTTTGTTTTTACTTTCTGATGAGCAACGAACACTAAATCCGACACTGTGTGCATATCTTTTATAAGACTTCTCACCGTCTTCTAATGGATCGAATTGCTGTCCTACCCTAGGCTTTAATTCTTCACCATTTGGCACCCATTCATTTATAAGAAACCAAAATATATTGTTAAAATACTATGATTATCTATAATACATAACGAATAAAAAAATTGAACTTGATAAACTGTATGCAACTCTTAAGAAATTACCTGAAATGATTGTGGCATAGGAATGTCCTCTGTGGTATCAAACTTAAGTTCAGCATCTTGATTATCACCCAAACTTTAGTTAGGAGAGTAAAAAAAAAAAAAGAATACATATCAGAATTTTTACCTAAAAAAATATTGAAAAGATGCAAATTAATATTGTGACAATTATTATAAAGTCAAAATCTACTAGTGCAATAATTATTACAAGACAAGCATTAGCAGAGGTGAGATGACAAGGACATAGGTGATAAAGTAAGGAAGTAATGGGTGACAAGTATATTATGATTTTAGTCCAAAAAATTTGTTCAACTCACCATTATTTGTAGCTTAGCACTCCAATATTTGAAAGAACAATCATACTTAGATTATATAATAAGCCATGCAGGAAAAGAACACGAAAGAACTGCATAATTTGAATGGTTAAATTTAATCTTAACATATGTCATTGAATGTTTTCATTTCTTACACTAATTAAGTGTTCTTATAAGATATACTTGCTATGAATGTAAGTATATTAACTCCTTGGTCTTGACGTTGTTCTACAAAATCCGTAGGGTTCTCAGGGCGGGTGGAAGTTTCAAATTCAACATTCGGTTCACAACAAGGGATTTATGGTTTCTTTGTTCTTCGACATTTTAATGCCCAAAAAAGTAGAGTATCGTAATGCATGTGAACCCCCGTTCACTTTATGTAATATTCAATATTTAGTGTGTTCTGTTGTAGAAGTTTCTCTTCACGGTTTGTTTGTGTTTCTTATTTTATTTTTCCATGGAGTGCAAATATAGTACAATTTTTTTTATTATGTTTAACTTGAGAGGACATTGTAGAAATTACTTAATAAATAAATTACCTCTGCTTTTGTTAAAATTCATGCGTGATTATCTATTTATGCATTAAATCAATAATTATCACTAATCTTTCAGCATTACAATCGATTTTTTAATTCAAACTAAAGATCAATTTATTAATTTGACATTTTTTAATTTATCCTATTGCTTTATTCAAATTTCACGTATTTCATTTGTCTTACTCTCAATTTACGGCCTTTTCTCTTTCTTCAATTTTTTTTCAAAATTCTTTCTCTTTCTACATGAAAGTTGATGCCATGTTAATGAACAGATTTTTATGAATGTATACATGATTTGAAAAATATTTAAATTAAAAATTTATTTGAAAAAATATCATTTTATTAGTATTATTAGAGTTGCTGCACTATAGCAAGAATCGAGGGAGAACTATTTTGTGGTATAGAAAGATGTTCATTCAAACATCTATGGAAATACAAGTCTGTGCTTACACAGGTACAGAAATGGTTTTCTACAAAAGAAATCTACATCGGTTAACAAAAAACCAATACAAAAACAAAAGCCGTGACATTTTTGAAATTTTAACAAACTTTTCTACATCAATTTTGAAACTGATGTCAAAACTGATGTTAAATGTGTTTACTACATCGGTTGTAATTGACAATCGCTGTTAAATATTTTTTATATCAGTTGTTACTTACAACCATTGTAGAAGAGTGTTTATAACTTCATTTTACCGCTTATGAACAATCACTTTTCATTTGTTCAATATATAGAGTACATCAATTTTTGTTTCTTCTCTCTCTCGGGCAAGGTATAGAAGTTTGTTTTTACAACTCAAACTTCCTTCTGTGTCATATAAGGTACGTAAATCACTTTCGAATTTGATTTTATATGTTTTAACTTCATGTACACATTTTTCTCACAAGTTTCATGTTTAGGGATTATTGTTTTTCCCTTGTACAACCTCAGCGATAGCAACAATCTCATTTTTCTGAAGATTACTTCGCACTTTGTCACGGCTACCTTTGAAGTAAGTGACTTTACCTATTTGTATAATAGTTTATTAATTTGCTTTGATTATTGGATTCAACTCCATCCTTCATTGCAGAATAAATATGGATTAATATTGCATTGTTCCTTTTATTTAACATAGAATAGTGGATTTTGAACTCTGCCATTGTATGTGTCAATTTTGGTAATCCTTACTGCATGCGCACACTACCTGTTTGATAAAACTCCTCAATAAAATTTTTAGTGGAATAGGTGTAACAAGACTGGATAAAAATCATATAGTTTAAATTAGGCATAGGACACATTAATTTTTAGCTGTACAACAACATACAAGGGGCAAAATCTATAAAGATTTTATGGTATGATTAGCAAGTAGCCACTGTAATTGTAAAGAGGAGCGAATACCATGGTAGGCTATGAGTGTCTTAATGGATTGGACAAGTTGTTATACTAAATCAATGATGAGTTAGTTTGCATAAGGCATGTTGAAGTGTACTATGTATTAAATAAATTAAGAAGTTGAAATTTTAAGGTGATTCAACTAAGGACTTAAGCAACCATTGACTAGAAATATGTTTGATTAATATTGGAGATGTATCTTTTTTGTTGTCATTGATGAATAATTAGCAATTGTGGTTCTCTTTTCTCAGTTTAATATATTGTAATGATAGATATTTACTAGTTAGGGTTCATAACTTGATTTGTTTCTTTGTTTAACCATCCTTCAATTGTTAACTCTTTATGTAGCTATGGATCATAGTTGAATAAATTGTAGACGTACAGATGACGAGTATGAGAATGGGGTCAAACAGTTTTTACAATTTGTGCAAAGAAATGTGAAGTGTTTGAATTTAAGGCAATTGAGTGTTAAAGATACAAGAGAATATGTGCTCTGTGATGAATTTTGCAAGAGTTATACAACATGGATATGTTACCATGAATTAGGAAATATGCCTGACTTGTCCCAAACAACTGAGGTTGATGTAGACATGAATAATCAATTGGAAGATATGATACGTGATATTGGGGAAGAGTCTTTTCAGAGACATGTTTTTGAGAACATATGTGAAGATAAAAATTTCCTTCTAATGAGGTATACTTCATTTCATTTATTTTTTACATAATTATTATTTGAAATTTTTCCTATGTACCTAACTATTAACAACATTAATAATTGTATAGGATATTGTTGAAACTGCAAAGGCCCCTATTCCTAAAAAAAAAAAAAAAGGACCATGAACTTGATGTGCTTCAACGCTTATGCCTAATGGCAATGAAGCTAGGGAAGAAACCTATGCAGTTGGACTTTGATGTTGGAATAAATGGAAATGGTTCTTCAATACCATTATACCTCACACAAAAGGACATCATGGAGGTTGCAATGAGTGAGGAGCTACTTTGCATTTCGGTTATTCAAGCATGGTTAATGTGAGTTCATTCTTGTTAGTTTTTTAGAATTTGTTAATGTGTACTATGTTCAATCACTAATATTTATTTTTATTGTACCATATTATAGTTATCTACATCAACATGCACTTACAAAGGGTGTGGATCATTTATTTGGGTTCCTTGACCCTCTTCAAATTTAGGGCTTGGGAAACAAGCATGAATCTATTCAGAAGAGGTTGTGTGAATGAAAGAAGCATTGCTACCTTGCACCCTTCCATTATAAGTATGTTTTTGTAAATTAGTTTTGTTATATAATTAGCTTTATAGTTGCTAATGTGGTGTGAAATTGGTTTATAAGCAACATTGGCAATTGTATACTCTATCCAAAAAGTAACAAAGTCATTTTCCTATGTTCGTTATGGAATAAGCCCAAAAAAGAAATCAAGGCCATAATTGATTTGTAAGTCATCTTCACATGTATTCAATTTGTTTAACTTATTTATACTAGCATAAACATTTACCTAACTCACTTCTTTATGGTAATGTTCATCATCATTAGATCTATGGAAGCGTGTAATCTATTAGAGGATAAGAATGTGAATAGAAAGAAGCGTATATGGATCTGTCCACGTGTATGTTCACCTTAGAATTTTGTTTTATATTTTGTTTTTTTTTCTTATTTGATATTAAAATATTTTTTATTCTTCTAGTCACACAAACAAAAGCAGAGTTGGGAGTGTGGGTATTATATCATGAAGCATATGCTAATTGTCATCACAGCTAGCATTATAGAATCTTGAAATTTGGTAAGTACGATATAATTGAATGTAAAAACATGGAATATTTGCTTGTTTATAATTATAAAACTAATGCTTATTTGTTATTTGATTTTGTAGATATTTGCAAATTTTGATCCAATCCTTGAAGAGGAAATTAAAGATATCAGAACACATTGGGTACAATTTATTTTCGGTATCAGTTCATTTTCTTTGTAAACTTTCAATGATCGATTAAGACAATATGTATTGATTTATATATGTACGTATTCATTATATATATATATATATATATATAATTGTGGATGTTCTTAATCAGAAAGTGTGATATTTTTTTATATTTCAAGTTTTGTAGAGTTGCATTAATTAAAACATATATTTAAAAGTAAATGAACACTTTTTACATCGGTTGTGATCATAACCGATGTAGAAAGATTACATATTCTACATTGGTTACTCTGAAAAGTCAATATAAAAGGTGTATTTACTACATCGGTTGCATTATAACCGATGTAGAATATATTTTTTCTACATTGTTGTTAACCAATGTGGAACATCACCACTTACTACATCGGCATACTAATTGATGTAAAAAACTCTTTTTAACTCATGTCAAAAGTCATTTCTATACTAGTCTTAAATAGAAACGCTTACAATAAGTAACCACCATATAATTGACCAATAATATATTTTTCAACAATATTAACTAAACTGAATTGTATTCACTTCAATTAGTAATAAACATAATTATCATCCTATTACTTTTTTTCTCATCATTTTAATGATGCACTGATTTAACATTTTTTACTTTGCTTGAAACTATTTTCTTGATAAATCTTTAACAAATGTTTTCTATCAATCAACTTTTCATTTTTATAATTTATTTATTATCTATAAAATAATATATAAGTTTTTTCTTTTCAATCATTTGATAACGTTTATTGAAAACTATAAAAGCAGAAGAAAATAATAAAATTACAAGTGAGAATAATTAAATTAAGTGTGAGATCTACATAAATTTTATGACTATCTAAACATTATAAATACTATCAAATTAATGTATTATAATTAATTTTATTATTTTCCTTTCCCATTTTTAGTTGCATAACATTTAGATACATGATCCTTTTCTATTCAGCCACTTTCTTTATAAGTGGGTAAAACTTGTTTTCTTTAAAAAAAAAAAAGTTTATTACTCTAAATATATTTTTTTTATCTCTTAATATATGAATTTAATATATTGTACGGCTAACTACTTCTGTTATTTTTTTTAAATATTTTGAGTACTCTTTTTAATATTTAAATTACACAGATAATGGTAAAGATTTATATAATAATATTTTAATATCTAAGTTATGATATAAATATTTTATTACACAAAGATTTATTTATACTAATAAGTAATTTGGCCTACTACAACAACTGATTAGACACTATATATGCCCACCAATTCACAATATAATAGGGCCAAAAGTTCAAAAATACACAATTATAAAATTCAAATTTTAGAGTAGAGACGCAATATCTTTAACATGATATTTGACTCTGTTACATTTTGAATTAGAATTTGTCTGAGATACAAAGTTGTAGATATTTTTCTTAGCTTTCTGGAGACATTAAGATCATCTCAATCTTACCTCTGTAACAAAAGTTATGCCATGTACAGAATAGAAAGGTCAAGATGAGAATAAAATCGAAAAATAATGAAAGTTTTTGCATTTTAATGTCCTAAGTTTATTAATTTCTAATAATCAATAAACCTCTATTTAAAAATAAAACTATGATTAACAAGAGTTAAAATGACCATCAAAATATGTGATATCAAGGGATTGAGGAGAGTGATAGGAACAATGACTTTGGCCTGCAAGTTATGAGCT